ATATATCCCGAAAGAGGGATTACATTTCACTTAGTATAGCGCTGCACACTCATTTTTTCACAGTCTCTACAAATCATAGTGCAGCAGCTTTCATATTTCACCCCTTCCATAAGCGCAGATTTTACATTATTTCCATCAGTAACATTATTAAACATAGAAAAGAGAGAATTAACATTTTGGGTATGAACCAGGAGCAGATTTTCAGGATTTAATCTCTTATTCAGCTGTACCTGCTTCTGAATTGTTTAAACACTGACATCCACTGCACACCACCATCTATAGAATCACCTTGCCACCAGTCAGTACTCAATGAAAGCAGCTTTAGCAGAAATGCGTTTACTCTTCAGAACACTTCTCGTTCCAGGAACTTTAGGTTGTCTTTCATGGAATGCAGGTTTGACATCTACCTACAGACTTCCAGTAACTGAAAATAGTGAACAGTAACACATATAATTGGGCGGTAAAATGTGCAGAAATGTCAGTTTCTAAGTTTGTTACCTGCAGAGCTTGTGTGAATGTTTTACATAGAAAACAATACAATTTAGGGGTGCCCACACAATGTTATTAGTGCCTTGTGCCATGCAAAAGCTTGTAATCTGCATCTCAGAGTAACATTTACTTGTACCAAGTTTGATTGATAGGGTACTCTCTTTTGCCCTTTATTATGGAGCAATGTATGGTCTCCCGCAACCGGCACAACATGACAGATCATTTCTTGAGACTGAACAGTCACATGACCATAAAAAGCACACCATATAAAAAAAAAAGTATTTGGCTATCGATATCTAAAAAAACAGCATGAATTGTGCCATCTATGCTGTGCAGTTTGTCATGTCCTCTACTTTAAAGTGACTGTTAGGAGAGAGTAAGGGGGCTGCTATTGCTGGTCTCCTTTTGAAAATGCTATTTGACTGGCTGTGGCTTCCCTTAAAGTGTTATTAAACCCTTGGAATAGATTTTTAGCAGCTTTGATTTTGCAGCCCGCTCCCTTTCTGTTCACGGGTGTCTCCTTTGCCTAGCAGGTTGCAGAGCAGACACCAGTGCGTGCTCCTAGCCAGCAACTGAGCCAAGGTGCGTGCATCCACTGACACACAGCGCTGTTCAGACACCTCTCCAGTGGTGCCCAGTTAGAATGGCTTCTGGTGCTCCGTCCTCACCTCTCCATTACACGAAGCATCCACACTTCACTTCTTGGCGAGTGCCAAGTTAGCAGTGCTGAGCGATGACTTGCAGCGGCGGTTTTCTAACTTAGCACTTACAGTGGCTGAGCAACTGAACATGTCTCAGCCATTTGAAGGTTTGGTTGATACCTGAATAAGCACACTAGCAACCTTGACAGTTACTTTTAAGTAACATCAACTTCTTTGTACGACATTAAATTGGTTGGTAAAGTTCCACTTTAAAGGTGTTACAGGGGAAAGAAAACACCACTGGCTTTATTCATTAAAAATGAGTTATTTCTTAAACTCACTAACCCATAGTAACCAATCCAAGTACAAAATGGACTCTGATTGGCTGCTAAGGGCTACTACACCTAAGAATAAGAATTTTTATTGAAAGGCTGGACTAAATACACAAATCAGGTATACACAGAAAAAAACACAAAAGACAAAATGATATAAAAAAAGGCAGTGGGATCATGATCATAGTAATCTCAATTAATCATTCATTAAGTGACCAAATTGACTCGGTTTTTAAAAGATTTTTTTTATTCTACACTTCATATACAATCAATAAAATATATACATATGATTTTATTAAAAAACAAATGATAGCAAACCATTATACATACAATATCTATAGATTTCTGAAACTGAGGTTATACCATGCAATACTGCTCTGAACGGTAAGTTATTGTCCTGCAGAGAACAGGAACGATTCAACACAGGACACTTGTGTGGCTCAATAATGCACAAATATTGACACTTGTGGTTCACAAATAGAAGGCGTGTTGAGAAATAGAACAGTGTGAAGCAGTGTGCCACATAAAAACGTTCCCTTTTTCACGTAGCCCGAGTCTACATTACAGCTGGAACTTGGAAGGTGGAAAATACTTGAAGTCTGTGTGCTTTGCAGTAACTAGCAGTTTGGAGTTGACAAGTAACGTACTATCACACCGCAGCGTAATGTAGAACCTTTATAAACAAACATACTATGGGACATGTAGTGCAATGGAGTGGAGATCCCAGTCTATTACAGTTTGTTAGTAAGGCATTTGATTTCAATAAAGGCAGCATACAGGGTATAAATCACATTTTGTTATTCAGGATCTAGCAAAACACTTATTTTGGCACTGGGAAGCGGTTAAGAATATTAACTTAAAATAGCTATTCAGAACGTCCAGTGGCTTAGATGTAAGATATAAATGCAAGTAGATGATGGAGGTAGTGTGTAAAAAAAATAAAAAGGATGTACAAAGATATCCTTTAAAAGTATTGGTAAAAATTTTAAAAACCGAATGCATTTTCAATATAGCACTCTATAATAATTCTAATACAACTTTGTAATTCTAAGGCCTCATTCACAGGGGGTAGTGTTGCCCCAAACGGCATCAACTGTCATTTTTTGATGCACCCGGAGCTGCGGGATGAAGCAAGTCTAGACTCATGCAAGTCTATAGTATAGGGAAAGGTGCAGCATTCCTGGGAGGGAAAATGGTAGAAAGACTGGAGGAGCTTTTAAACTTGAAAGTGGGGGGGAGGGTATAAAAATAAAATTACTTAAACTAAACGTTGATAATTTAATCATAGATAAAAATAACACAGAAAGTAGTAAAAAAGGAGTTCATAATAGTGGGCTCACTCCAGTCAATATAGGAAATCCGTTGGCACATGTAAGTATAACTAACAACGGACGACCGAAAAACGCAGGAGCTGTGCACCATCAGCTCTGCGTTTTGATAGCCGCTTGCAGACAGTGCATGGGCCTGGATCCAACATGTCTGCTTCTAGTGCCATACACCATCTGTGTGCAGCCGTCAAAACTCAAGAGCTGCTGAAGCAGCTTATGATGAAGCACAGCTCCTGCATCTCTGCAGACTTACATGAGCTGCCTGCACACTTCTTCCGCAGCTCCGGGTGCATTAAAATGGCCCTCCATGCTGTATGGGGCAACATGCCCCCTGCGCATGAGGCCCTAGACTGATCACTTGAAGTAATCTTTCGTGAAAGAGGCAGCACATTCTAGAAGGGGGAAGAGCTGTTCTACCATTAATTCTGTACAACTTAATCATCATCTCTAGGATACATTTTTAAAGGAAGAAACTAACCATTACATTGCTGTAATAGTTAACTAGTAAGCATGGCCAGTCATTTGTAGGTATGCAGTTACACAGTAACTCATAATGGGTCTGGTTTATGAAAACGTGAGCCTTGAAGTAAAATGTGTGCTGCTCATCGCAAGCAGGACAATTATTTCTTTACTTTCAGAATCTGCACTGGATAATGACCGCTAGAATGTACCTGCTTGATGGGCAACATACTTTCCTTTATGATGTACTGGACCTAATTAAAAAAACATTTAAAACAGTAAAAGGAAATGGCTATCATTGCTGACCTCGCCTTTTGAACATTCTAGTTGCCCGGCTGTCATGCTTTCTTCTTTCAATGCTTTGAAGCACTGATCCAGACAAGGACCTTTAATTCTCAGATTTTGCTAATCTGCATACGTCAATGACTAAGTAATGAAGACAGAGGTCAGCAAAACAGCTAGGCAAGTAAGCATTTTCAGAAATGAAATCCCCCCCCCCCCCAAAAAAAAAAAAACAGGGAAAATACTTATATATAGGGAGACCTGGATGTAGCAAATCTTTTCTAATATCTTCTGTTCAATCGCCTGATAACTAAATGAAACAAAGAGGTCTATTCGCTTAGCTGCCGAAGGATCTAGCCGTAGCTTCGGCTGAATCTTCGGCTAGCTTCGGCCCCAGGACCCCTACGGTTTAGTAGAACCGCATGGCTGCTGTACAGGCTATTCACTATAGCCCGTACAGCTCCCAAAGTCGGCCGAGCGGCTCAGGC